TGTGAAACAGGCCTTAGACAGAATAATGTTTTTTTTAGTAAAGGTCACATGAAAGCTTGCTTGGGGTTTAGCAAACAAGAAGGAATGTCTGGTTAAAAATCAACTCTTTAAGCAAAACTCCAAATACTTTGCCTGCAGTACAAAAATCACTGCCATTCTATGGATGAAAGTCAGTGGGAGTAGCATTCAAGGAAAAATGAAGGAGTGACACTTTATAAAAATATCACACCATTAACTATTAAGGCATTAGTAAGGCTCCAATTTATCATTTATAAGGCATTACTCCTCCCTAGTATGAAATTTATAAATACAGATAAAAATGTTTATATTTTTATGCATGCCCATTTAAAACAATAACCCTATAAAAAAGAAACAAAAAAATAAAATAAAGTCATGATGAATATTAAAAGATGGAATACTAGAATACAACAACTGCGGTGCCAAAAATAATGTAGCAGTATTTTGGGAATCCTGATTTTATTTACATTATGGCCATTAAATATTGCTATTTATTGATTTAATTTGGTAGCATCCTTGTTTTACAGGCTAGGGATTTTAAGATTCCATGGAACATGCCCATTGATTTGGGATTCTCCATGATGAAGGAGAACCACTTCTTAACCTGATCACCTCCTTACCCCAAGGAGGTGCTCTGAGTTTTCACTGAATGGGAAGGAGGAGGCGATCATCCACTGCTTCTTTCATTTCAGCTGAGTTCACCTAATGTGAAAGCGCTTTGGAAATGAACGTGACTGGACTTAGCTGACTAAAGCTGGCTAACAGAATACAAAGCAGAGGAAAGTTGAACTTCAGGAACAAACTAAAGAAATTCCAACATCAGAGATATTTTCCTGTATTATCAGTTTAATGTGAGGGACGCTTTGTTTATGGCGTTTACACTTGTTTGTGAAGCTCTGTGAAATATCCACTATTTTTTGTGAAAACTATACTCATCTTTTATTTTAAATAAAGCAGCTTAAGTATATTTAAGTTAAATTACCCCGTGGCTCTAACTGGTTGGTGTATCTTTCGCTCTTAAACTCCTGTTACTAGTTAGACTCTGGTCCGACCTACACTTCAGTATTCTGTAAACCTCAGGTGGGTTATGTTTGAGTCTGGCACTAATTATTTCTACGTTCTATATCTCTTTGTGGGTTTTCTGAATCATTTTCTGTTGTGAGTACAGCCAAGACTTGTTCGAGTCTTAAGGTACTTTCATTTTCATTTATAAATGCTTTATAAGGCAAAAATAGTCCTCACTTTAGATGAGGTCATGCAAAAAATACTTAATTAATAACCAGTAACTGTGTGAATTAACCATGAATTACAATGTGAAATGAAGTATTTATCTTCTCCACCCATAAGATCCTGGTGTACTCAGCAAACCTTCAGACAAAAACTGGTTCAACCCAGGACAAATTGGGTGGACCTAAACACAAGCTGAACAATGTTGTGTAAGAAGTGCAATGCAGTGACGAGTGCTCAGACTCGCCCAGGAAACAACAGAATAACCACAGACACATGCACGACATAGCAGAGCCAGGACCTCAGGATAGGACTCAGTAGCACTTAAAGGACAGGAAATATCCTTAGAGGTTACTAAATGTTCACATTTTAGACGGAGAAGACAGTTGGTTTGAGAGAGATGAGTAAAGATGGCCGTCTATGTCCACTGTGAGTGGCCAGCACTGAACATGGGTTGTGGTCTGTCATACTAACTATCAGCCGTCTATGAGATGTCGGCTATCTGGTGCCTCTTCTTAGGCAATTCAGCTCCCACTCACACCTTGACCCTTGCGACCTTAATGACTCAATGATGACAGGTTGGGTCAACCACCTACAGCACCACCTTCAAGGTAAAATCCCCACTTAGGTTAAATATCCAGTCCAGTTGCCTTCAGCTAAAACACTTAACCCTGTAATGCCTGAACCAGGAAATAATTCCCAGAAAATGATTATTATTTTTTAAATGGAGTGTTTATTGAACCTTCTCTGGATCATATTTGCTACATCCAGCATTTTACTGCTTAAAAATGTATTGTGCTGTGCAATTTATTATTATTATTATTATTATTATTAATTAATTTTTTAAAAATAATTCTCTAATTAATTCTAATTCTCTTCAGTAACCTTTCTGAATACTTTATGAAGCAGCTTCATGTTTACTAGTAAGTTAATCGATTTTATTTATATAACACATTTAAAACCAAAAATCTTTACAATAGAAGAAACAAGGTATTTACATAAAGTAACACAACAACAACTTTTCCTCCATCCACGTTTCCAGAGATCAGCTGCTTCCAGAAGCTTGACATACAGGTCTGTTTTCAGCTCAGATTTCAAGATAGTCACGTTGATGCTTGTCTGAGGTTACTTGCAAGATCATTCCACAGTCTCGGCAAAGGCACACACAAGACACTTTACTGTTTTGATTTCAAACAGCACCAATTTATATCACACTCTCTAATGCACATAGAGCCACTGTAGGCTGAAGTAATCTGAACTCTCTTTTGTGTCCCAGTCAGTAATCTGGCTGCAGGATTTTGGTCTAATTGTAGACGAGCAAGAGATGACTGAATAGCTCCAGTATACAGTGCATTACAGGAGTAGATACAACAGAAGTATCCATGATTCTTTTCAGATGGGTTCTAAAAATAAAGATTTTATTCTGAAGATTGTGCTGAGCTGAAAGAAACTGCAGTTCACCGTGGCATTATTTTGTGTGTCATAGATTATCCCAAAGCTTTTAACCTGTGTTTTTATAGCCTTCCCTTTTTTCCAGTCTGTCATTTTATTATTTATTTCTTTTTTTTAAACACAGACTTTGCTCTTAAAACATATAAACTGATTATATGTCAAAGGCCTGATACTAGGGTATTTTGTTAAAACATCAAGATAACAGACACTGCTATGCATCATCACAAATTTATAATAAATGCACATTAAATTTTAGTAAGTGCACACTTCTTTTACAACTGAGTTTTAAATGTTTTTAAATGAAAAAAAATAAGAAGATGCATAAATTTCATGATGCATGTATATTTATTGCCCCAAACAAAAAACAGAAATTGCACAAATTGGAAAAATTGCAAACAGTAAACATTTTTTAAATGAACTCCAAATGTTTTTTCTTTAGCTCTCAAACCAAAAAGTGGAGCGTGCCAGGCATCCTTGTGGTTGACCCGTAGGAAGTTGACCCTCTATTAATCATGTGCGTCATCACACTCACAGTTTCAACTTAAAAGGGCCCGATTTGTCTGTGTCAGATAGTGCATGCTGAAATAACCAAATAAAATATGTAGTGAAAATGTCAAGCTAATGTCTTCCTTCTTTTCTATATTGTACCCAAAACAAAGCTGCCCATATAGGTTAACAGACGGCAAAGGCACCTTTCCGCATTTATGAGCCCACATTGTGAGAAAGGTGCACACAGACATTTCTCTGAAATACACACATGCCAGAGGGTGTTTCTCCCCCCATGTGCCTGCGAGGAGCTTTACAAGGAAGTTACCTGCCTGCATTCTCTGTGCTCACTAACTCAGGCCCCTTGAGCACAGTGAAAAAACAAACTAAATAAAAGAGACAACTAAATAAAAATGGCATAATAATTAGTTCTCATGCTGTTTGGGTGCATTTTACTGCACTGTTTTGAGTACAGAGTACCCAAATTAAATAAACAGGTAAAAGAAACTGTGGGTGGATGGATGGATAACATTTCAAAAAGCATTACAATACATTACAATACACAATAATTGTAATGGTAAGATTTCCTTCCAATATACAGCTACTACCTGTAAGAATTGCTTTGAATGGTAAAGGTCGAATTGTTCTGGAAGTTATTATCAGAACAGTTTTTCTATACGTGGAAATAATTGTTCAGGAGATCCAAATGAATTGTATGAAAATATATACATTTATTATGTAAACTGCTTCTTATCAAGGTGAGAAGAGCGACAGCAGTTATCATCAGCCTTGTTCTGAAAATCTTATCTCACACAGGTTTATAGACCCACTGTGCAAATAGGAAAACACAGTTTAGCTGCTATTTGCCCTTGGGGCCCTCATGGAGCCGAAATGAAAGGGATGACAAACAGAAGACAGGTCAGTGTACGTCAAAAGGATCGATTAGGTTTGATCTTTTATAGTTCCTCCCTAAAACTGTGTTTGTTTTGTTTTATTCCATTAGTTTGAGCATGCATGCAGCAGTCATTTAGGGAAGACAGAAAAGTTTTGAACTGCTTTGCATTTGGACACTGCTTGACCTCCACACACCCAAACACACCCCCATACACAGAAACACAAAATCTTTTCCTGGTAGTACAAACATTAACCTTTTTGAAGGTAACACACTCTGAGACTACTAAAATAGTACCACACAAAGTGCTTTACTCCAGTAACTACTTTGATAGTGATATAAAATGTGCATCTGCAGCTTTATAACAGAAAAAGATCAGTTTGGTGCTGGTTTTGACCCAGAAGATTTTTAGTGTGGCGCGAGGGATTTATGTTGTATACACATAACTACAAGGCTATAAGGTTACATACCATATTTTATGTAACTATTATTTAAGTATTGCAAAAGTCACCCTCACAAATGTACTCTACACTCAAGAGACACAGTATATTTCAACAACTTTATTGCAAACCGTTAAGTAACAACGTAAGTTAAATCGCCAGCATGATACATGTTGTAACAGCAGGAACAGGAAAAGGGGGTGAGAGTGTCATTGTACTCTCATTATTGGTTGCTGTGGTTATAATTCATAATATAATCATAACCATATCAGCCAAATAAAATATTTCCATATAAAGATATGAAAACATGAACATGATGGGCACACGGTATCAGGAGACTGTCCGCATAAAGAGTTTACATCTAGGTCATTCTTTAGCTTTTCTACAGAATTCTTCACTGCGTAGAATTTGTAGATCAGCCTAAATAAAAATTCCTTGAACCAAGACCAAAACTTTATTACTGAGAGACTCGCGCAGAACACGCCCACGTCACTGACGTCAGAGTGCGCTCTGAGGAGTCCGAGAAGTTGAAGAGTTTAAGTGGGTGGGGAAATGAAAACATAACGGTAACAATGAGTCCCTCCTCTGTTTACTAAGCCGTTTTAACTACGACGAAAGCCGCTCTCCGTGTATAAAGGCAGACGATCCTCATGTAACCCTGCTAACAATAAAGAAACCCGGGTTTTGAACACTTTTCTTAGCTACCGCATTTAAAGAGACAGCGCCGGGGCTTTCGAAAAGCATCATGGCGGACTCCAGCACCAATGGCCTCACATCTCTCGCGCGGGCTTTGTCACAACCATCTCTGGATCTGATAGAAGTTAATGATGTTTCCCCTCCACGAAGTCTTCAGCTTCATCCAGGACGAAGGAGAAAGTTGTCCAGTTGCAACTCGATTGAGAACGCCGACCTGGTAACCTCACCTTGCGCCGCGGAGGCGCGGGTCCTCGTTATCAATACTGGAGGAACTATCGGCATGACTCTTCATGAAGACGGTAGCTATGGCAATCATTGTCATCAATTATTCGTTGTTCTCCTCTGTAGCAGTTAGCTAGCATAGCCGGTGGCTTCCTCTTATTGCATGTTTGCATGTGGGTCTGAACACGAGGCGTGACAACAATCTGCACGTGCATCCGAAAATAGACTTGGGGTAAACAGCTTACCTACACAGCTGATGCCATGTGCGACTGGCGACCTTCCAAATAAACTACACCGGTGTACACATGAGCAGACTGTCTTGGTCTTGTGAATGAACATGGAAATGAAGATGCTAAATGAAGCTTGGTTTTAGTGAACAGAAATGCAAAGACGAAAGTTGAGATCAGATGTATTTACTCTGCGCATGATTCAGGGTTTTACAACAGACTTAAGTTTCGAAACAGGAGAGCAGCCAACGCCAAACGTACTACAGTGAAAACAGGTTCTCTCAATGAATAACTGAATGTTGACATTAGTTACTGTGCAACATCTGCGGTATTCGGACTTTTAAAAACCACCTGTCCCTATTTTTCAATCCATAATAAGCGACCTACTCATGTTTGTGGTTTATTCATTGCTTTGACATTTGCAATACAACTAAATATTCTTATATGTTATGGATTTTCTAAATAAGCTGAACTTGCCTTAACTATATTTGGACAAATACCTTTCATTACTTTGTACACAATAGAGTAGATATGAGAATGATGCAAGGCCATTGTTAAATCCTCCCAATTCTTTTGACCTTTGGGCTGAAGGAAGGACAATACTCTGTGGATAAATGCTCAATCAACAATTACTTTATTACATACAATTCAACACTTTATGAGCACAAACCATCCGGATGGGGAGACATGCATGAAGAGGGTCACAGCAAAATCTCAAACTGGTGGAGGATTACTCAAACTCTTATAGCCTCTAGTGGCCCCCAGCTAGTTGTAAAAACCTAAACATTCACATTCTTTCTAACTCCAAGCGAGCCTGACTTATGGCCTTGTCTGTCTCCTCTACTATCAGAAAAAGCAAGGTCCTGACTCTCTGAAAACAGTGTTTCTTATAACTCAGCAGTATAATGCATCATAAAACAATATCATTCATTCACACAGAATCAGCAGTCTAATGCAATACAAATCAGTTTAATAACTGTAATAGTTATCACCTTCTTCTAATTCAGGAGAATAATACAAACTAAAACTACATAATAATTTCACAATCTTTAATTAGGGGTATAACATAGCATACGATAATATGCTAATATATACCATCCATCTTCTGGTAGCAAAGAAAAGAAAAAAAGCAGCCGGAAAGCCATTTAGGCGAGGGTCATCATCCACACTTGTATTATACGTATATTATACTTATAGCTAAATAGAGCCCAACAATCAGAGTGAACTCATCAAACACAGTGCTAGATCAGTCGCAGTGTACAGTAGATCAAGGTGGTTTGTTGACCAACTGAGATATTGACAAGTGATCACAGGATTTATACCACAGCAGAAAGATCTTTTCCTCATCTAATCTCTCCCCACACCCTGGCGTTCTCCCAGCTCAGGCTTCATCAATATTCATGTCACTAACACCCAAAACCAGTTTTTCCTCAGTTTTATGCCAAGGTATGTTCTTTATGGTCTGTTTTTCAACAGATAAACAAAAGTTAAATTAAATACACTCTTTAGACATTAAATTAAGAATAAAATGATTTTATAGATTTGATATGACACTGTTATACTTACATCAAACACTGTAACTTCATTGTAGCTTAGTAAATGACTGAAATCTTTTCAGTGCCAACACACTGCCTTCGTTGTGTTGTTTTGCTCGACTCATGCTTCCAAGCCTTCTCCATCGCTCTAATTCTAGCCTTTCTGTTTTGAACGCAGTGAATAGTTTGGAGCTTGTGATGAAGGTCTTCCGAGGTCTTTTCTTAATGGCTGACTTGGATAATGATATTCCTGCCTTCTGGAGAGTCTTTTTCATTTACATGGATTTTCTGAAGTGGTTTCTTCTTTGTCATGGAAAAGATGCTGTGACCATTCACAGCTATGGTGATCTGTGGGGGGTCCAGGCCTTTTTATTATTTACAGAGCTGACCAGTGTATCCTTTTTTCTTAGGATGTCCCACACTTTTGATTTGGCCACTTATAATATCCCCATTGTCTCTATGATGGGTTTTTTTTGGAGCCTAAAGATGGTCTGGTTTTTGAATCGAGAGCTTCTTTGATTACATATTGTGGGTTTTATAGCAACTGCTTCCAAATACATTATGCCGTTAGAGCTGTAATTACTATACTCTTCCTACAGTTTGGATGTAAACAGCCTCAAATTAAAGCTGAAAGTATTACTTTAGTCATATTTTAAGCCCATATTGGTTGTAATTGTAACTTGAATATGTTTTGATAAAAGGCTCAAATAACAAAAATTGCACGGACTTAACTGTAGGTCAGCTCCCTTAATATACAGTCATATGAAAAATAGTTTTCACACGACTTCTTTACAGCCCTGTGATAATGTAACTACACCCTTGTTGCTTCCGTACAATTTAGAGGGAAACTACGAGCCAGCCACTGCTGACAAATTGCACTTGATTAATTGGTCATCATGAAGTGCTGTTGTGGAGGATTAAGTTTGTGTTAACACAATATGAATGACCTTAGAGAAGGAATTGTTGCTGCCCACCATTCCATCGGTCCATCATTCTATAGTAAGAAAGATTATTCACAAGTGGAAAACATTCAAGACAGATGCCTGGATCCCCAGCAAATTCAATCCAAAGTCAGACTGTGCAAGAGAGAAATTGCAAAAAACTCAAGAGCTACCTCTCAGATGCTACAGGTCTTGGTTAGTGTGTTCAATGTTAAGTTTGTTTGTACAGTATAAAAAGGCTGAACAAATATGGCGTTTTTGGAAGGGTTTCCAGAAAAAGAACATGGCAGTATAGCCTAGGTTTGTCAAACCACACGACTTCTGGAACGATGTCCTTTGGACAAACCAAACTAAACTAAATCCAGAGCGCCACATTTGGTGAAAACCAAACAAAGCATATCAACCCAAACACCTTACCAACCGTCAAGCACGGTGGTGGAGGGGTGATGATTTGGGTTTGTTTTCCAGTCACAGTACGTAGGCAACCTTTCACTCACTGGGACGATCAGGAACTCCTCTTTATACTAAACTATACTAAAATCAAATGTGAGGCCATGTGCCGGACAGAAATGATTGTTAACTGAAATATGATAATCATCAGTTATTCAGATTGCCAGTTTAAAGCTGTATTATTTGTGTGAGTTCAATGTATGTGTTTATTTTGCTTGACAGTTAAGATTGCATGTCCATATTATATTCTGTCTCCTAACCTTTGTGTTGTTGTTTCTAATAGTACATTTAATGTTGTCCTTTTATGTTATACTTAAGAAGATCATGTGTTTTTAAAAGTGTGCTTCAAGTGTATTTCCAGCCATAATGTTATTTTTTACAATAACCACTAGGGTTCAGTATGAGAGTGTTGTTGTGGTGTTGAGATGACAGCATATCCACTGTGCTCGCTTTCTATTAATAGTAATCCTACTAAAAGCAAACTGTTAAACATTAAAAATCTCTGTTGTTTTTCTGCTCTTTAACCTACAGTTCTTGCCCCACAAGCCAATGCTTTTGTGAAGAGCCTGCGTAAGCTGCCCATCCTCCATGATGAGACATATGCTCACCAGACCCGCATGTATGAATACTATGGATCTGACACCTTGGTCCTGCCGTAAGTGCACCCATTAGTCAACATGTAGATATATATATCTGTATTTAACAAAAAGAAACCACATGCTGTACTATTGGTTGCCATATGTATCAGAGGAAGACTACATAACTGTGTTTGTAATATTTTAAACATGTTTCCTTATCCTTATTTGAAAACAGAAAATTAACAGTATTTTCTGTTGTCACAGCCACGAGGCACGGGATTATTTAGCTCATAATTTGTCTTCATTATTAGCATCTTGTGAGGCCTGTGTTACTGACAGAGCAAGAGTAGGTCAACAACAAAGAAAAGGATCGCATGTAAATTTGTAATGTTGCTTATTTTGAACTAAAGTTTGAAATCCTGTGTGTTTTTATTTCCTTTATACCTAATTTATTACATTAATTATGTCATTTATTTAACTTGAGACCGTCTCACTTCACAGTGAAAAAATGTTGCACTTCATCTAATGTGCAGTGCTTTTCCTGAATGGCTAAACCTGACAGCTATTTGGATCTTTATAGATCCAAACTTTGTGTTTATAGTATGTGCAGACCGTCCTGAGGACAGTGAGATAGAATGTATTTCAGGTGTTTTTGCAAGAGCATTCGTTATACAGGCTAAATCGCCCTATATCTTGGATCTGCCCAAGATGGTAACTGCACACAGTGCAAGATATGTTTCCTATCTGGAAAAGCAGAGGCTGAAAATAAAACAAGTTACATTCCTGTTAAGAGATGCACTTATTTTTATTACCCTTAACTGCTTTTGTCACTTTAACAGGAAGCCAGCGCCCCATCCCGACCTGCACTTTCACGGGTGTTGTAGTACTGGTTGCATTGTGTTTGACTTCTCCCTGCTTGAGATTGGTTTGATGTCTCTGCTGTACTTAACACCACTTGCTTGGGTGTGCTTCCCTGTTGGGAAGTGCATGCCTACGTGTCTTTCGGCAGTTGGAAAAAGTGTTGCTTGAAGTAATTCTGTGTCTCTTACTCCGGCTAATTTTGAACTCTGTAACTAACAAGGCAGCTGTATAGCGTCTCGTTTCTGATATAAGCAAAAGATAGATTGCAGTGTTGCATGTTTAACTTTATTTTGTCTTGTTTTCTCATGCTTGTGTGCAGTTGAGTGAATTGGGCTCGGAGCCGATTGACATGCCCTTTAGGGTCTTCATCGTCAGTAGAAGTAGCCTTTTCCAGAGACACTAATTTCCTCTCTGGCCTCATGTTGACTGCTATTATAAAAGTGGGTTTAGTCCTGTATTATAGTAAAGATATCAAGGTATCTATGGCCCTTGAAATGGTAAGTATTTTCTAAAGATAGGTTGTTAGAACTTCGTTATTTTATTATCTGTGAGATATATATATGCCATCTTCTTATGTTTTTCATTAATATTCTACTGCTTGAATGTTTTTAGGTGTTCAGCACGTCTTAACACTTGCTCATCCTTGAGTTTGCAGTGTTCATATCAACTGAATTAAACTCACATGCAAATTTAATAGGCATACCGTTGATCTTATTCAAGAGCTGATCCTACGTCTATTATTTCAGAGGGGAATTGGTTTATTGATTAACTGCAAAGCTTTATTCATGTGATGTTGAGAGGCAATGCCACAGGGCTGTTTGCTTCCACCTCCAGCGTCCTTCCATGCGTTTATTATTCTGAGCATATGAAGTGTCTTAGCATGAGTATGGTAATGTGTAGCTTTGCTAAACCTTAGGACACACCGCCAGATATGTGAATAATTGGTGATTTGAATAGTGTTTTTTTTAGGCACTTTTCTTCTAGAAGATCGACAACATATGTTCTTGGGTCATGTGTCGACTTGAGGCTAATTAGTAGAGTGTCTATAGGACCCCTGCTTGGATGGACTGGGGCTCACCCGCTCTTCCCCCTGCTGTTCCATTCACCTCCTATCTCTATGCTATAAGGCTGCCCTATGGTAATGTGGGGGGTGTTCTACGGTGTTTCTTTAAAAGGGAGATTAAAAAGAAAATCGCTTCATGGCTTTTCAGTCAGTCACGCTGCCTTACATGGAGCGTGGCAGGTGGGGCTGTGGGATGCCTGCGTTAAACTGCACTTACAGGCAGCATAAATATGTATGCATGAAAGACTCCCTCCCTATTATTTGCAATGAAAAAGAAATACAGGCTTTTGCTCCAACATGATACGAGTCACCAAAGAACCTTCAAAATATATCGGATAAGCTATCTTGTATCCATAAATGTATGTAAGTGTTCAGTCATGTAGCTGTGCAGGAAATTGGGACTCTACTGTGCTAAACAAAAATGCTTAACTTTTAAAGTGCTGCACTGTCTAACTTGTGTGACTTTGCCCCTCCCTTTTACCCTTTGAAAATTCTTTGTGTGTGTAAACCTGAAACAGGTTTTGGCGCCCTGTTGCTCAGACAGAAGGCCCAGCTAAACGGATTTTGAAGTCAGCGTTTTTAACATTCCCTTACGCTTCTTTAAGCTCACATCTCCCCTTTAACCAGAACCTGATCCAGCTTTTATTAAATGTTCACCACAATACATAATATGTAATAATTTATCCCAGTAAAGACTTTAATTGCTTGTTGACTGCGTGAACTTTTGAAGTTGAATATTTGTACTTGGAACGACCAACACCGCTGCTTTATTATTGGCTGTATAATCTGTCACTGTTTGGCTTTGTGTAAATGTTCATATAGAGAATGCAGCTCATAGATAAACTGGACTGTTCTCTTCCAGACTGAGTAAACAAAATAAGAGGATAGTCTACACTATCTTGGAGTACAATCCTTTATTGGACTCTTCCAATATGACCACAGATGACTGGGGTAGATTTGGAAAGGACATTGAGGTACTTGCTACGCTTTTTAATTTGTTGTTGTGCCTTTATATTACTTAAATCCTGCTTTTAAAATCTATCTGGCCATGTGAAATTATCTCCATTATGATCATTATTTTCTTATTTCACCCCAGAGAAACTATGAAAGCTACGATGGTTTTGTGATTCTTCATGGCACAGACACTATGGCTTACACAGCCTCTGCCCTGTCCTTTATGTGTGAGCATTTGGGCAAACCGATCATTCTCACGGGCTCACAGGTAAGAGCTGCTATCCTCAAGTCACTAACTAACCAACAAATAAACCAGGGTTTACTGCTTTGTTAAAATGAGACACTTTCTGTCTTTAGGTACCCATCTATGAGATGAGGAATGATGGCAGAGACAATCTACTTGGGGCATTACTAATTGCTGGACAATTTGTCATTCCTGAGGTGAGATAAAGAAGATGGTTTATAGCTGCTAATTGACTGCAAACCTTATTAGAAATGTTGGATTGTGAGAGAGAAACTGACTGAATGTAATACCCTGATAGCCAGTTGTTGCTTTGTTTTCTCTTAACTCTGTTATATGTTAGTGATTTAATCAATCAAGAAATAAATTATTAAGTTCATCTTATGAACATGCATTTGTTAGGTGTGCCTGTATTTCTACAACAAACTCTACAGAGGGAATCGTGTGACCAAAGTGGATGCTGGGAGCTTCAATGCATTCTCATCTCCTAACTTGGCCCCCTTGGCCACTGCTGAAGTGGATATTACAAGTAAGGAACCAATAAACTGCTTACGTAGAAAAGAAATCACTTTTTGTTTTTAAAGGATTATTTTTTTATTGGGTTTTTTTCACTTTTCCGCCAGTCAACTGGGATACAGTGTGGAGGGCAAACACCACAGCAAAGTTTCAAGTCAAGACTGAGCTGAACCGCAACGTAGGCCTGCTTAGGCTATTCCCAGGAATCACTGCGTCTACTGTAAGTTTCAGGGAAATGTAGTTTATTTAACTTTTTATTAAAGTGGTATAAAATGTCATTTTTTGTTTAATGCTACTGGTGTAGCCTGTGAAGTGGACCATGGATGTAATTTTGGAATATTTAGCAGATGTTCTGAAGCTACCGCTTGTCATTATTTGGATAGAAGAATGAAAATGATAAAAACTAAACAGCTTGCTCCTTAGAGTGCCTCACTAATCACTCAGAGCGGCCGCCCTGACAGTTGTGTATAACTTTAAGTCTTAAATGCAACCCTGTACAACCTTACAGCTAAGGTCACAAAAAAGATTAAAACACTCACTAGCACCATGAACAAACAGCCAGCTTCATGTAACTCAGCAGTCGTATTGTCTTCTCCGATGTTGTCCTTTTAAACACGGGAGTCTGTTTTCTCACATTTTGAGACCGCCTCATTTGGCTGCTTGAGGAACTGCAGTATTTGGACTTGAGCCTTGGCTTCATTTCTAAGCCTCAGAGGTTCCAGCTTACTTACGCTGTTTCCAATTAAAACCAAATGACATGCAGTCAAGTGCTGAAATGAGTATGTTAAAATTGCCGGCATGGTGCAAATCTTTAAGTCGAGAAAGTTGTAATTGCCTCCTTTTTTTCTGTTGTACTAAAATGTAGTCGAGATCACCTGTTCTTCAAAGGTAACAGACTGTTGTTTTGTCTGCAATAAAATATAGTTAACTTCAATGTAATTGCGCTATTAGCCTTCTTCTGTTACTTTCCCAGTCATGTAAGCTGCCATCAAAGCTCAAGCCAGAGAAAGATGAGACGGAGTTATGGGCCATGTCCAATCACCCTGTAAAGAGGGAGGGTTGCTACAGATACTGTAACATTTAGCTGCACCTCCCCCTGCAGCGTCTGCTGGGGGAGCGACTTTACTGTCTCAATCTGCTCCCACTGCCCAACTCTGCTATCAAGGCTTTCTTACAGCCTTTAACTGCTTTTATGAGGCACCGTTTTGATTAGGCACTTGGCTCTCGTGTGTCCGCACTCTGCAGTACGGGAGCTTCATTGATAATCTGCGTCACACCTTTCTTGTCAAACTGCTTATCGCATCAAAAAATACTGAGTGAACCTGGAACTTTTAATGTCACCTTCTTCTCGCATTTTATGGTAACTGGCACAAACTTGCCAAGTGACTTTATGCTTGCTAACACCTTCAGATTAATTGCTCTCCTTTCTGCCATTCTAGTCATATGCCATGGCTAATGATGTGGTGTAGGGCTTCCCAGTGCCAACCAACCAACCAGCGACTGAGATACTCTGGTTGCAGAGATGGCACCAGATGGGCTTTTAGGAGAGTGAATGGGTTGCATGGAGTTAAAGGGGCTGCAGGAAAAATAACACGGAATACTAATTTCTCATCTTGATTCTGCACAGTTGAGTAGCCAGTTAAGATGGCCATAAATTTTGGGTGTTTATAACCTGAAACTGCGCTCATCTTTGTCCAGGTAAAGGCTTTCCTGCAGCCACCCATGGAAGGAGTGGTCCTGGAAACCTACGGCAGCGGAAATGCCCCCGATAACCGCCCTGATCTCCTGGAACAGTTAAAGAAAGCCACTGATGCCGGTGTCATCATCATCAACTGCACGCAGTGTCTGAGGGGGTCGGTGTCTACATCCTACGCCACTGGCAAGGTAGTTCATGACGCTTGGTAATTAATCACAGTCTTGTTAATATGTTCAGTTGAGTTGGAGAGAGAATGAATCAATCAGGTCACTTATTCCTGTGATTGATACTACAGGTCTTGATAGAAGCCGGCCTGATAGCAGGAGGCGACATGACTCCAGAGGCTGCGCTGTCAAAACTGTCCTACGTATTGGCCAAGAAGGAGCTTGCTCTGGAGGCGAAGAAAAAGGCTGGTGGCACTTTCAACACTTTCTTTTCCATTATGTGGAAGTTTTTAAAGTAACAAAGTGCTAAAAGATTATTCTTTTTTTGTGACTCTGTCCAGATGATGGCAGAGAACCTGCGAGGTGAAATGATCGCTGACTTGGCAGGAGCCAAACTGTGCCTGAGTGACAGCCGTTTCATCCAAGTCATTGCCAAGTCTCTAAGCGTCAGCTGCAAAGAGGTAAGGGTAGCAGTGCATTTCCGCAGACTTTCAGCTCTGGGGCTAACTTTAGGTTATTAGGAGCTTGTCATTTTGCCATACTTGATGACTTGTTTTCATATTCAGAGAAATTGCGGGTTTTAAAATTCTTGGAATCTGGTTTCAAAAGGAGCTGGAAGCCATCCGAGATGCTCTGACTCCCACGCTGGCATGCGCCGCTGCTAAGATCGGTGACATTGAGGCCTTAAAAGCCCTAAAAGAAATGGTAAGCGATCCTACGACCTTCACCACATGCTGTAAAGTTAATCATTATTTCCTGTTTTTGAGTCTCCAAACACATTTTACCCATTTCTTTCCTGGTCATGTTTGGCTGTAAGGTCATTGAACTTTGGAAAACTTTTCCCACTGGTAGATTTTCAAAACATTTTCAGGGTCACACTTCCATTTTGTATTAGAGCGGTGTAGTCAACACGCAGGCACTCAGACAAGCAGAACTAGAGGACAGACTGGTATGGCAAGCCTAGAGTTGTCTCCACAGTCGCATGTACATGTCTGTATGTGGATTGACTGGAATGCAGCTGCTGCCTAGATTACCTTGAAGTTTTCAAAAATATATTCTGCCCTCACGTAAGGGCATTGGCTGCTTTTCACTCATTTTTGGTCCAGACCTTGTTTATTTTTATTTTTTGTATATTTGTTAAGTCACTTAACACTGACCCATGAATCATTCAAGCATAAAAAAGCAGCAGATGAACAGTATTTGAAAGTCATGTCCTTAAGAAATAGTAAAGAAAATCCAGCAAAAACCTTCCAGTTGATGATCCCTCTAATGTTCACTGAAGCCTCTGCAGAAATTTTAGAAGGGCGGCTGTCAAGCAGCCACTCTTAAGGAAAGTAAGCAGGGAGAAAGGGCTGAGATATACCACATTAGACAAGAAATTTAGTTAAAATCGGTAGCAGCAGGTCTTAAGAAGTGATCAAATTGAAAATTTTGGTTCAAATCATTGTCAGTATCTACAGAGGAGATCGAGAGAGAGCTACAACAGTGAGTGAATACAAGCACGGTGGATGGTGACGTTGTCAAAATTGATGGAATTATAAACACAGAAATGTGCTGTCAAATTTTGATCCGATGTAATGCTAATTGGAAAGCATCAGATTGGCAACGGCTTCATTTTTTCAGCATGACGGTGATCCCAAACACACTGTCAAACTAAAAGCATACATGGATAAAGACAAACAAAAATACAGTGGGACACTACCAGGCATGGGTTGGCCCTCAGAGCCCAGACCTCAACATTACTGAAGCAGTGTGGGATCATCCTCACAAAGAATGGAACAAAAAGCAGCAAACATCCAGAGAAGAGCTTTGAATGTCCTTCAAGAAGCCTGGAGAAGTATTCTTGAAGACTACTACTCAAACAGTTTGGCACTTTAGATCCTCAGATGAGTGGAAAAAAAATCAGCCACAGGTTTGGCATCGCCCAAATCTAGCAGTGGTGTAAGGCTTTTCGATCATTCTAGTTGTACACTCAAGTTTTAGTCTTTTTCAGGAGATTTTTTATTATTATTTTTGTAATTTTGTTACGCTGTCTGAAACAGGTTTCTCTTGTGATTGAGCATTGAGTCTCACTGGGATTACCCGTATAAATAAAGATTAAATCAAAACAAATAAACAAAAAGAACAAATATAGATTAGAAATAAAATCAATACATCATCTCACCACACTAACCTTTAAACCACCAGCACACACACTGAGGATTTTCCCTTTCCACAGGGCAGTAACTTATGTCTGGTGGACTACGATGGACGCACACCCCTTCATGTTGCTGCCTGTGAGGGCCACCTCAAAATGGTGCAGTACCTACTGAGTCATGGAGCTTCGGTCCACACTAAAGATCGCTATGGCGACACACCCCTATGCAATGCTGTGCGTTTCAGGTAAGACTTGTCTTGTTTCGAAACAGTAAGGGCCAGTGTGTCTGCCTGTATCTTGCTGTTAAAGTAATATTGTCATTTATGAATTTGCAAACACAACAATTTAAATCCCCCCCTCTTGGCAATTAGACATCTGAGGATCTCCTGCAAATATGTTTAATAGCTGCTACAGAGAGGACTTCATTACATGAGCTGCTGATAGGTTTTGCTCAAATGGCAAGAAAGCAGCAGCGGCTGGGGGGAGGGTGAAACCAGGAAGGGGCTCGTAATGGAGTTTAGAGGCCGGGCAATAATTATAAGCTAATTAGGCTAATTGTCATCTGACAATTTAGGCAGTGTTTATTTTTACCAAAGCTGTATTTTTAATTTTGTGTCATTCACTGAGGTTGCTCTAAACGTCTGTCAGGGAATAGCCAGGCGTAACATTTCAGGGCTATGTTGAGCCTCAGGGTGAAAACGTTGTGTGTGTCAGAGCTGCGACAAATGGCTCATCTCTTTCAACGGTTGGTGCTGCAAGTGTGGACTTGTTGCCTTTGTGATGGCAGAGGGATGCACTGGAGCGCAGACACCTGTTGTTACACTTCCTGTAATGTGCTGCACAGCTTGAGCAGCTATTCCCCTTCTTAATATTTTCACTGAAATAACAAAAGTAATAAAAGTGGAGTTTTAAGTTGCTGTCAGGGATGCGCGAGCACATTGTGAGCCACATTTCATACTGTAGTAAGAGCCTAATGCCCATATAAGGAGAGGCAGAGAGGACAGAGAGAGAAACCTGAAAGAAATGTGGGGAGTGCCCTCTGAACCAGTCCTACCAGCTTGCTCCCCGGTTCATTGATGAGAGTTACTGGCTTCTTTATGCTCTGCAGGAAGTCCCTAATAGGTTCTCTGGCTGTTGCTTTCCATACAGCTAAACAATTAGGCACAAAATTGAGCTCTTACTAGCTTACCCTGTCGCTTTGTCACACAGGTCTTATTCAGAAAGCCTGCGGGTCAGTTGTGGAAACTTTTCAGCCTTTCCTTTTAATGCACATTTCTTGTCACCGTGAAAATCACTGCATGTGACTCCTGCATGGGCGGCTCTTTGCGGGGGACAACAAACTTGTTCGTACTTGCCAAACGACGATTACTGCCACACAGACTCTTTCGCTCCAAGTCTAAATTAGTGTGAATGAAAATGTTGTTTAAAATTAGCATTATATCTAATTACACTTAATAGGTAGTTATGTCTGTTTCTTCTGATTCAAACGAATATGCTTATTAAACATAAGCCCTTTTATTAATGAGATATAGGCTCTCTGGCATCTCGCTAAGAGATGGAGATGGAGTGCACGAGCATTATTTGGTTCACGTGCAAAGGACTCGTCACGCTTGTTGTAACTGAGATTGTCATCATCACTTCTCTTGAAGTCTAGCCAAACTTCTGAGTATTTGGGCCCATCATTAATAGCAGGGTCTATGTGTGTGTGCTGCAACAGCTGCTCTCGATTGGACACAGGCACCGAGAGGGGAAGACCTGACTTTTGGATTGAGAATAGCAAAAATGCACCATAATCTAATGTCCTAATACAACTGCAATTAGATAGAGATTTATAGTCACAATGTTGTGTTGTGTTATTACATTCCTTGAAACTTGTACCATGTGGAATATGTTACTAGCTCTGTCTTAAGGTTTGCAAGAGTTACAGAAAAGTGATCAGTTGCGATGCCCTTTTATTAATAGAAAAGAGTGCATGTGTGAATGGTGATATACAGTAACAATAACTCTGTGATTACATGCTCTCTAACTTAGACACAAGGAAGTTGTGAAGCTGCTGAGAAAGACCGGAGCTCATTTCTCCAGACATGAGTTGGAGGAAGCAGGAACTGAAATGTGCAGGTCAGACACAAAAAAGGAAGTATTGTAACAATTGTACACAGCCACTTCGTTGCTCCACCGTCACTAATGACCCATCCTACATCTACATCCTACATCCTACACCTGACACAGGTGCAACCAGTTGTCCCACTCTTACACAAACTGTAGGAATGCTCCCTAACTGCATAGCTTCAGATCTGTTCTCTATCTGTAGTGTCAGTGAGTACGTGTTGTTTTTTTCCCCTTTCTTTCTTTTTTTTTTTTAATCTGCCCGAGACACTAAACAGGTTTTGTTAAGACCGTTCCAATTTCCAGTTTCAGGAACACACCTTTCATATGATAAGCATTGCATGTGTCACTATGAAGATAAACCTCAAGCTCCTGTGGCTCATGTGGCTCAGTAATACTGAATGTTCCATTGATATGCTTTTGCAGTCTTTCCACAAATTTCCTTTACACAAGCTGTTCTTTGCCCAGTGTATATTATATTAATACTGATTTTGGAAAAATGAATCCTGTTGCTGTAATAATGCTTTTACTTTGTGTGCATCAGCCTGGCAGCCAATGGTGACCTGGATGGTCTGGAAATCTGGAGCCTTGCTGGAGCAGACTTAAATCAACCAGGCTATGATGGGCAGACTGCAATTCAAGTGGTGGGTTTGTAGGAAGGCATATTTCTATTTTATTAACACTTAGCAGTTCACAAAGTTAAAAAAACTTCTCCATCATCGCCTGTCACAGGCACAAGCTGTCGGCAAAAAGGATGTGGTAGCATTTTTGCTCCGACTCGAGAGCAAAAAATCAAAGGTATGCTCTGTTTTCTCCATTTTTCAGCTTTACTCTTCTGCAGGGCAAGCTTGGTTTCTCTGTCTATAATTTTCTCTCAATTACTTTGTTTAATTCCAGAAAGTATTGGGTGAATTTAATGATGATGATGATGATGATGATGATGAGGAAGAGGTAAAAAAGATGTAGCCCAAGTGTGTGTGTTTCCCTGTGTCTACATTCCCCATACTCAGCATGAGATCAAACCCTGTGCATGACTGCATTGGCTCCCTTGTTTCTTTGTCTACAATACCTTTTGCTTATTATCCATCATGACCTGTTGTCACTGGGTTGTGTGTCTCAGCGCAAAGTGCTAAAGAGGAATTGCATACACTTGGAATGGTCACCAAATTGGGTGGGAATAACGTGCCAAATCTACAGAGAAATGGCTCTGATCCGGAAAGCCATTAGCTAGCATGCTGATTGAAAACCTGGGGGAAGGGGGCTTTTTTTGGGGTCTGGGTTTCTGGTGTAACCAGGACATCCAATAGAAGTATATTTTAATAATTCCATACTTCCTGTTCAGTTATAGTTTACAAATAGATTCCTTTTGAAAATCAAATTAAAACCCTAAATTTATGTCAGGTGATAGGTGACTATGTCCACATAGCATTTTGGTTAATGCACTCACTCTTTGGGTCTTCACACACCTTGTTCACCTGCATGTACCCACACCTGCTCAGATCCCACTGGTTGAACTGACACACAAGCAGACTGCAAAAGGAAATCGGAAAAGCTCCTAGTGCCAACAATATATTATATTATAACCGGGTCGACTGTGGCTCGGGACATAGAGTAGGTCATCTGCCAACTGGAAGGTTGGTAGTTAGATCCAGTCTGCATGTCAGCTTAACCTTGGGCAAAAATGAGCCCTGAGTTTTGATTCATCCATGAGAGTGTTAGTGTTTAGGTATAGAGAAAAGCACTGTGTGAATGCGTGTGTGATTAAGTGCATATGGCTTGTAGTAAGAAAGTGCTCACTTAGACTAGAAAAGCAGTGGTTATGTCTATCTGTCTGTCTGTGTGTGT